TTCGCCCCCCCCCAGATAGGTCTGACTCCCTCTAATGCGCCTGAGCCCCTTTGCGCCCCACTGATCTGAGCCACCCTGTGGGTCTAAGCGCCCCCCCCCCGCAGGGTCTGTGCCCCTCTTGTCGCCATTGGCTTGAGCATCCGAGACCCCCCCATTGTGCATCTGACACCCCCACAGTCATAGTGGGTTTGATCTCCAGGGTGGGCATCACGTTTGGGGCCCGACAGTGCCCCATGGGGACATTGCGACCCCCCCGGGGCTGTGCATCACCCCCGTGGCACTTGGGGACTGTGGTGCTGCTGTGGGCACCAGGAGATCCCGGTGGGCGAGGAGAAGTGTGGCAGGGAGGAAGGTCAGGGTCAGGGAAGGCTTTGGGAGCTGTGCCCTGAGTTGAGCTGAGGTCACCCCACCAGCAAGGGGTGACACGGGAGCCACGCGGCAAGGACAGGGTTAAGGACAGGGTCATCCGAGGTGACCTTGCTTTTCAAGAGACTGGCTGTGGCCGAAAGCACCTGCTGGCGATCAGCTTTTCTCTCCCCCCCCTCCACTTTGCAGTTCACATCCAGACCTCACGGGCTCTCATGGTGATTTCTCTTCTCCTGGGCTTTTTCGGCATCATTGTGAGCGTGGTGGGCATGAAATGCACCAAAGTTGGTGAAGACGATCCTGTGACCAAGAGCCGCATCGCTGTTGCTGGTGGTGTCCTCTTCGTCCTCTCCGGTAAGGCAGCTCCAGCCCTTGCACCTCTCCGATGTAGAAGACCTCAAACACCTTTTAAAAGCTGTTTGATGGAAGAAGCCAGTGAGGAGCTGGTTTGGTGATTGGTTGGGTATTGCTGATGTTCAAGGTTTCATGTCTAGTTGAAGATGTTCCCGCTCATTGCAGGGGAGTTGGACTAGATGACCTTTAAAGGTCCCTTCCAACCCAAACCATTCTATGATTCTACGTCCAGGTCTGTGCACGTTGGCCGCCGTGTCCTTGTATGCAACCCAGGTGACCTACGAGTTCTTCAGAGAGAGCACTGTCCCCATCAACGCCAGGTAAGAACGCGCCTCGTGGGGTGCTCTTCAGCTGAATCCCAGCTCGTCCATGCGCTTCCCACCAGACCGTCCCTTGCCGGTTATGGCGACGCGGGAGGTTGAAGGCAGATGTGCCACATGGGATGGGACTTGTCCCACCTCAGCTGCCACGTTGCAGAAGATCTGCCCGATGCTAAAGCTGTAGTCCGTACCACGGGTGACTTTGGGCTGGGACAGAGCAAGGGTGCTCCCATGGAGGTTCAGCCCAAGGGAGGGTCAAAGCACAGGCGAACCCGGTAGTTGGATCCGGCCGAGGCGAATGATGAGGAATGCCAAGAGAAGAACCAGCGTCTGCCTCGACGTTGCCCGTAGCCTCGTCAAGGCTTCGAGCACCCTTGTGCCCATGGGGTCCTTGTCTCGATTTGCACCTCTGCCTTTTCTGCCCTCCCCTCCCTGATGCCCCTCCTCTGTTTATCACCGCAGGTACGAATTCGGCTCAGCTCTCTTCATCGGCTGGGG